CACCTGAGCAGAGACTTGAATGACGAGAGGCCAAGAAAAGACCGTGAAGGAGAGCATTCCAGGCAAACGGACCAGGAGGAAAAATCTGCCAAAGTGAGACTCGGCTTGGCCAGCATGACCGGGCTCCGTGGGTGGACTGGGGAGCAGCAGGGGGGAGTCGGAAGGAGCATTTTAATGAGGTTTTACAGTTCACCGTACACGGGAACAGGCACCCTGTTCTCTTGTTTGGCTCAGCAGCCCCACGGCTTAGATGACGGAGCCGTTGAGAAGACAGGAACTAGGGAGCAGATTCCAGCCTCAGACTGTGTGGGTTCAGCTCCTACTAGTTTAGTTATTGTGCTCGTTTTGCCAGGGACTTGACACTTTTCTCATGTTTAAAACGAGGCCAACCGTCTCCATCATTTGTGGAAGATTTAATGAGATAGTCACCCAGAGTTTAAGTGATAGCTGGCACACAGTAAGCACTTAATAAGTGTTAGCTAGTATTATTATTTCCATTTTATACAGCCAAAGTGGCTCATTTGGAAGAGCCCTTCAATGTGGCCATAAACCTCCTGGGACTGATTCTGTGTCTTGGCAGATGAGTGACTCCTTTTCAGTGCCTGCCACATGGATGGTCCTCAGTAAATGTTTGTTGAATGAATGAAAGCATGAACTAATGAGGCAGAAATAGAAGGTAGAGCATAAAAATGTGGGCGGAGATGTTTGAAGATAATTTGCTAGGCAATGGGGAGCTATTGAAGGTTCTTGAGCAGGGGCAGGGAGGTGTCAGATGGATTGAAGGAGGGAGGGTTTGGAAGCAGGAGGAACAGTTGGTAAATTGTGGGCATCTTCTAGATGAGGAATAAGAGGGACTTGTTCTGGAGGGTCCCTGGAGAAGAGAAGCAAGGCTTTCCTTTCTTGCTTACTTCTGCCTCAGAGGCCTGCATATCACCCAGGACGACTCCCTTCCAGCTTGGCAACCTACCTGTGATGGGCTAGCCTGCTTACTGCAGTCACCTTCATTCAGGTCTCCTAGATGCTACCCAGACTGCCCTAGGGCCCCCCACCCCCCCACCTCACTCACTGTCCTGTGTCTCCAGCCAGCAGAGTCGTATAAGAAGGCCCATCTGAGTTGTCACTCTTCTCTTTGAAACCTTCCCCTGGCGCCCTGCTGCCCCTAAGAGAGCTTCCGTTCGCTCTGTGGCTCCGAGCTCCCCATAAGCTTCTCCTGCTGAGCCCTCCCGCCCGCCCCTCCCTCTCCTCCTTTGTCCCGGGGGCTGCCCGTCCTGGCTCAGCTGATTTGACCCCGACGATGTCTGCCTGAACTATTCCAGGCCCTGAACGAATGGTTCAGGGTGACGCGGAACAGGGCTTTTCACACGTGAATGTGGGCTGAACCGCCTGGCTATCTTCTTACAGCACAGAGGCTGCTTTCGGAGGCGTGGGGGGCGGGGCTAAGATTCTGGGGCTTCTGAGGAGTTGGCAGCGCCCGGGAGCTTGCGAGGAATGCAGAGCCTCAGGCCCCACCTGGGCCTCTGAGTCCGAGTCCGCTCGTTAGCAATTTCAGCACAGAGCTGGCCTAGGGACCCTCTTAGGAGCACGTGGCCACCCTTGTGCTGGCTCTCAGGACCGGCCCAGGCACCGGGATCTCGTTCCTCCATCCGGCCTGCTGGAATTCACACCCACGAGCTGTGACAGACGAGCCCAGTTCAGGAGGTGTTACCTCCAAGAAGGAGAGAAGAAACGGAACTGGCTGAGATGGGACAAGAGACGGGCCTGAGAGGTGGGGCACAGGTTCACTGAACGCCCGCAGCCATGGCCCCCGCGGTGTGCCCCTAAATGACTTACACTTGTAGGTGTGACCTGGGAGATCTATAGGACTTTTCCTAGCAGGTCGGGGTCTGTAGCGCCCTTTCCTGGATTTGTCCTGATAAAATCTCCCAGCCGACTGGCACATGGCCTTTCAGACAGAATCTGGGCGGGGAGGCCACGAGGGTCAGAGCCAGAGGGAACACGGCAATGCAGACAAGTTCCGGCCTTTTGTAACTTACATATCCACACATCATCTTCTCGCTCCTCGAGAGGGGGACAAGTTACGCTCTCCAGTCCCATGGAGAAGCCAAGGCCTGGCCCCGGGTGTCTGAGGACCCCCCGGGAGCACACCTTTCCAACCGTCCTTGCCGGCCCTGATTTCCCACCTCTGCTGAGTTCTTGTTCTCTTGGCCTTACAGCTGTTCCTTCATCACTGGTGTTGATCCCAGGGTGGGTCCTGGCTCCCCACCTCCCCTGTAACCTGCCATCAGAGCACCCACCAATACAAGCCATGAGGTTATGAGGTCACCAGAAAGGCATGACATTGCTGCGCGGAACTGAAGACAGAACGGACTTCCTGCTCCTGGATGCGCTCCGGACCACCCGCTTCCAAGGGTTTCACCAGCTGCCCACCCCACGCAGTGCCTGGCCCCGGGGCATCTCACTGCCCACTCTCTTACTTCCTCCTTCAGGTTCTCCTCCAAGACCTTCCCCGAACAGAGGGATGCCTCTCTCCATCCCTAGGCCTGAAACTCCCAGATTACCTTTGCAGAGCCCAAGCGCATCCACGTTCTCAGCTGCCGGAGAGCATTCTAGATCATTAGCAGCAGCAAGGACCAGCAGGGACCTTTCCCAGGATGCGCCCTCTTCAGTGGGCCCTTGTGGTTTTAAATAGATTCTTTTCTCCCTTTGGATCATCTTCCCATAGAAGGCTGAGTCTTTGAGGCAAACCATCCATAATCTTTTATGTCATTCATTCATTCATTCGCTTATTCATTCAACACATATTGATCAAGCGAGGTCCGGGTGCCAAGTGCAGATGCTGGAGGAACGAATACGGATGTGCTCGTTTCTAGAAACCTGCTGAGCGATTGCCCACCTCACCCGCGGAGGGCGGCGATGGTAAGAGTTATTAATGCCGTGGGTATCACCGGATACAGTAAAAATGGAAACTCACAAGACATTATGGAGGCGTGTGAGTATCCTTCACCGTGCAAAGGGGTTCACTGCAGGATTAAACAAAGCCAGAGAATTTTAGAATTTGAAGGGAGCTCGGGGACTGGCTCATTCCATCCCTTCATCAGGCAGCGGTGGAAAATGAGATTTAAAAAGCTTCAGATACTTGCTTCTCGTCATTTAGCAAGCCCACCCCCAGCCGCCGGGTCGCATCCAGCACCGCTTTTTCATTCCCGGAGCTGGTTCTCTTTCACGAGGCCTTGCATGACGGAGAGACATTCCAATGAGGATGATGACGATATCACTGATAATAATACTTTATAAGTGCTTTCTATGTGCCAGACACTGTTCTAAGCGCTTTCAGAGGTTACAACATCGTTCTGATAGCAATCCCATTAGTACCGGTGAGAGAGTTCTAAAGCACAGAGAGATTAAGCAATTTGTCTAAGGTCACACAGTTCAGAAGTACTGACGCTGGGGTTCTAATCTCCTGAGACCGTGCTCTGAACCACCACAGTCCAAGGCTTCTCTTTAGACAGGGGACTTCCGGTCTCACAGCCCCTGTTGAGAAATGGGTTTCCACCCACATATTTAAAGGAAAGTACTTCTGCATCAAGCCTAATTTCAGTGCTATGTAAACCAAATATAAGCCAAAAAAATCAAGATTCTCTTAGCAAGGATTTGAATAAAATACGGTGATATTAATGAATTAAGGTCAGGCACGTTCTGCTGGTCTCAAAAATCTTCTGATTTGAGTATTAGAGATGACTTTTCTCCCGCGTGCTTGATTAATTTCCCAGAACAGCCGCCTCCCACTCCCCTCCCCCGCTGTTTAGACCCGGGGTTCTCCCTGTGCATAGCAAGTGCCAGCAAAGCCCAGAGTCTAAAACAAAACAGACCTGTTAGTTCTCTCATTAGCTTGTTCCTTTGAAGCGGTTATTAAAGTGAAGCCTGGAGAGTATAAATCTTAATGCGTCCTTCTCAGCAACACCTCCCCTCAACACGGAAAGTCATAAAAAAGAGAGAAAGAGAACAGTGGGAACCTTGGAGGAACTCTGGGGGTTTATCTATTATCAGGAGCAGCAGGAGCCCAGAGTCATTTAAATCCTCTGGTGGGGAGGCAGGGTGGGAAACCACAATGCTTTTCCAGGGAGCGTCACTGGCTGAGTAGGAATGGGCTGCTATTTGTCTTCTCTGTCCGTTGTGATGATGACTGGCTGGCAGGGTGTCTTAGCTACAGGACCGAGCAGGTCAGTTCTGACAACCTCATCGCCGTCATTAGCGCCTTTTGTTTGCAGCGAACCCAAAAAGCTGTTCAGCATTAGCAGAGGAGGGTGGAGAACATGAGAGAGCAAAGGAGAGAGCCTGAACTGAGTTTCCAACCTATTAATACCAAGGAAACATACCCGGGGCGATCAGGCAGCTGACTTCAATGGCGGACCCAAATTTGGACTCCCTGTTCTTTCTACTAGAAGCATCACTGCTTGTGTTTATAAACGCTCATCATTTTGCCCAATTTTGGTTCTTGGAAATGCCCTGGGGAGATGTTATTTTTGCTCAGGGGTCTTCCTGCTTCCAGCGTGGTGCGGTGACTAACTAGTTTCAGCATCCACTCTAGCATGCTAGGGTAAAATGAAGCCAAATACATAGAGGAAGGGCAGTGACCTTTCTTGGGGACCCATGGGTGTCAGGGAAGGTGCATTTTTATGTGAATGATCTCCTCTGTCTGCTCAACAATCCTGGGGTCGGTGGCCTCATTCCCATTGCACTGATAAGAACGACAAAGCACAGAGAGGTCAAATGTTGCCTCTAAGATCACCCAGCCAGTCAGAGCAGAGCAGGGGTTCAAATTCAGGTGTGTCTCTTGGTCCAAATTTACTAAACCAAGCCGCACAAAACCCCAAGTAAACAAACAACTCCCCCCACCAAAACAAAACAAAAAAGAAAGAAAAACCTCCCACCGCCACCAAAACTGTTAACTGAAGTCAAAGAGGCAAGATTAGGAATCTGTCTTTGGAAGACCATGGGACCTGTAGGCAAAAGTATGTATTTATTTAACGGCCTGGTCATGAGAAAGCTCGAATGATAAAAACACATAGCGAAAGAAATTGTATTAATTAAATTATAAAAATGTGTTATGCTTTTTTGGGAACTTACTCCTCCTCCTGGGGTGACCCTTGCCAAGACATTCTGTGTTCCTGTTTTTAGGCAAAAAGAAGTAGGTGGAAGATGAAAGTTTCATGTCTGGCTGATGCAAATTTGAGTCTTGTGCTCTCTGGTCATTTCGCTTTCTGCGGCCTGATCAAGTTCCTTCGACTGGCATTCCTACTTCTTAAATCCCTCTTGTCCTTTTCTGGACGACTTTACGAACATTGTGCCTTAGATCTTGAGAAATGTCTGGTGAAATTGGCCAATTGTGATGGCAGGCCTAGCAGGGATGCGGATCCAGGGTCGCTGTGATGAGAGAGGGAGGGAGAGACAACAAAAGAGGGCAGGAATCTTGGGCTGACCCTGCTGCTTCTGCCGGGACATTACATTTAGTGTCCAAAATCTGACCTTAACCATTTCTGGTGAACTCTGTTAATTCTGTAAGCTACTGACAGAATGTTTACTCAAATCCTAGCAAAGTCTAGGTTCATTGGGCAATGTGACCAATGCACATGAATTCAAGGATTTTATTATTATTATCAGCTCCCAGCCTCGGCCTTCTTAAGAGTTCCCGGGTGTCCCTTAACAGCACTCCAGCCTGAGTGCCACCTGGCTTCTGAACATGGACTTGTGTGTACTGCTGTGGAAAAATAAGAAGCCAATGAAACCTCCAGGCCCGCGTGGGGCGTGCTGACCAGACATCGAGACTGAGGATCAGGAAGCTGGAATTTCCCCCCGGCCTCGGTGCTGGCTTCTAGCTTTTCCACTTCCCTAAATCACCCCTGTGGTGGGTCTGGGCGCACAGGAGGTGATCCCTAATTGTCTCTTGAACTGATGGTGAAACTACAAGAGCCAGAGTACCAGGTCTAGTTCTCAGAGAGCATTTTACACCCAAACTCAAACCTCTTCCCTGAGCGCGACCCCCTGGAGCAGACAGCTCCTCCTTCAGGGACGCCCTAAGGGCAGCTCCGCTCCCCAGGGATCGCTCACCTCGCTTGGCCCCGCTTAGCAGGAGACTAGCAACTTGCTCCAGCTTTTAGGTTTTTCCTTGCTGAGTTTACAGCGGGGGGTGTTCAGGGACAGGAGCGAGGCTTGGGGGCCGGCGGGGACAGGTGGGGCACGCGCATTCCTGGGTCCCCCCAGACCTCCTGGAGGATGCTGATGGACACCGTCCAGTTTGAGAACTGCCGTGTGCAGGGCACAGAGACCTCCCCGCTGCCCCTTGGGTGGAGGGCGTCGGGTCCAGGACACCCGCGTCTCGCAGGGGTCCTGGGGGAGAGCGGGCGTGAGAGCGCGGGGAGCTGGGACTGGAGGCCAGGAGGAGGAGGAGGAGGAGGGGGAGTCCCTCGTGGCCACCTTGAGGGGAGGGCGGGATGGTGCCCACAGGGACTGGGTCAGGAGGCGAGGGGCGGGCCGGGCCTGGCCACTCTGCGCTGGCGCCAAGGGGCACCGGCTGAGGGCGCGCGCTCCCCGCCCACCCCTCGCGGAAGGGGCGGGGCCGGGGCGTGGCGCGGGGAGGGGGCGTGGCGCGGGGGAAGCGTGGGCAGTGGAGCAGGGAGCGGGCGGGGTCGGGGCGAGGGGATAGGAGCAGCGGGGCGGGGCGCGGGGAGGGGACCGGAGGCGGGGCGCGGGAATGGGAGCCCGCGAGCGGGGGGGGGGGGGGGCGCAGCGGGGGGGCCGGGGGGGGGGGGGGGGGGCAGAGGCGTGGGGAGGGGGGGGGGGGGGGCGAGGGGGATGGGAGCGGGGGCTGGGGGGGGGGCGGGGGCGGGGGGCGGGGACGGAGGAGGGAGCGGAGAGGGGGCGGGGCCGGGCGGGTGGGCAGGTCCCGGGGAGGGGGGCCGGGGGGGGGCGAGGGGGATGGAAACAGGGGGTGGGGGGGGGCCGGGGGGGGGGGGGGGGGATGGAGCGGGGGGGCGGGGAGGGGGCGGGGCGCAGCGAGGGGCCCGGGGCGGGGCGCGGGGAGGGGTGGGGCGCGGGGCGGGTGGGCAGGGTCCTGGGGAGGGGGCCGGGGGCGGGGCGGGCGACCCCGGCGGGCGCGAGGCTGGGCGCGCGCAGGCCGCGAGGGGGGTGCCGGGCGCGCGGCGGCGGGGGCGCGCGGCCGGGCGCGCGCGGGGGGGGCTGCCCCGGGGCGGCCCCCCACGTCGGGGCGCGGCGGGCGGCGGCGGCGGCTCCTCGGGACCCGGACGGGACGCGCTCCCGCCGCCGCCGCTCGCCAACATGGCGGACCTGGAGGCCGTGCTGGCCGATGTCAGCTACCTGATGGCGATGGAGAAGAGCAAGGCCACCCCGGCCGCCCGCGCCAGCAAGAAGATCGTCCTGCCCGAGCCCAGGTACCGGCTGCCCCCGGCCCGCGCCGCCGCCCCCCGCGGCCGCCAGCGACCCCCTGCGTCCGGGAGGGTCGGGCGCTGCGCCGCGGCTGCCCCCCGGCCGGCGACCTCCGGGAGCGGGCGCTGCGGGGCCGGCCTCGCCGTGCCGGTCTCTAAAATGGGGCGGCGGAGAGCTGTTGGGGGGACTCCGGGAGAGAGCGCCCCAAAGTGCCCAGCGCGGCGCCTGGCTGTTAGGATGTGGTTGTGACTTGGCTGGACCAGCCCCATCCCTGTCTCCCAGTCCAGTCCCGTCCTGTGCATCTTTCCAGCCCCATCCCTATGGTTCTCCCTGTTCCAACGCTGTGGTTTCCTCCTGCCCCATCCCTGTCACCCCTTCTGCCCTGTGCCTGTTGTTCCCTTGTGCTCCATCCTGGTCGTTTCTTCCCTGGCTCCTGCTGTCCCTCTTTCCAGCTCCATCCTCTCCTGAGCTCCCTCTGGGCTCCTTAGCTGGCGAGTGCAGGCTTCTTGCCTTTTTGTCCCAGGTACTTAAACTGCTGTTTTCAGTGCTCGCTCCCCTTGAGGTCCACCAGTCTAGACAGCTTCCTACCCTCCTTTCCTTTCCTCCTTTGTGCCCCCGGGCAGTAATGAGTGGCTTTGGACCCACTCAGTTTTCTTTCTGGTGCTGTGTGTATCTCCTGAGCGCTTTCCTCAACTTGCAGATCTGGTGGCACTTTTTTGAAAGGTTGAAATGGGATTCACTTAAAAACGCACATTGAATGGGTGATTCCAGACAGGAATTTGCTGTTTAAATTGCCAGAGAAGGGCCCCCATTGAATTGGCGAGGGGCTTGGTGAGGTCCATACCAAGTTGTAATTTTGTCTCGAAAATGATTTATTATTGATGAACTAGTCAAAGACTTCACTAGTTCGTGTCACTAGCACAGCCCCAGGAACGATGGTCCATCAGATTAATAGTGAGTTTCAAATGGTACATCAAAGGATTAAGGTTGGATTTTTTTCGCCTAGCTTCTTTCCTAATTAACACCATCATGAGTTATACAGCAAGCGAATGTGGCTCCTTGATGCTAAATAGCTCTTAGTGGAATTGATGATAAAAAGCGGCATCTTCTTTATGGTGAATCTGAAACCATGCAATTTTGTAAAATATTAAAATCTCACTTAAAGCTGTTCTCTGTTTGAAACCATCAGTCCTTCAAATGTTATCTACCCAAGATTGCTTGTGTTACCTTGACATAAGAAAAAAGTCTTTCGATGCTAAAACATCACCAGATTATTTTACAAGTTCATCAGCCTGTACCCTACGTTATAGAAAATGTCAGTCCCTTTGAGTTATTTGTTGTGAAAAGCCAAATTGTGTAAATGAATGCATGTGAGGTATTTTGGGCTTCCTTTGCGCTTCCTAGCCCATGACTTGTTAGTTTTGCAGAATTGTGCTCTGATGAGCAATGCCAAGCTGAGAAAATCAGGGGAGAGTTCAGACCTTCTGGAGTGTCTTGAAATTAATACTGCTTGTCCAGAGTTTAACATATCTGGAGCTCGTTCAGAATCGGTGCTGTTTAAAATTGCTGGCAAGTGGGAAATTAAGTAACACGAGAACCCCCAGTTAAAACTTGAATTTCATTTAAAAACCCCCCAAAACCACATTTCTATAAATGTGCTATAAAATGCTTAATTTGGTTTTCTTCTGCCTTTTCTACTTTTCCTAAAGGGCAGGGAGTCCTACATATGTAGAGTTTCCATGTGTAAAGTCAATAAATCTTAATTCTTGGGGGGGGGGGCATATAAAATTACTAAAATTAGGAACTTCATTTTTTTTTTCTTGCTGTTTTGAACTTAATGTGACTTCTGCTTTTTTAGTGTCCTTCTTAAGAACATGCTTTATGCTTGGGCTCTTCACTTGCTTGTATGAATGCCTTTATTTTTTCTTTAGTAATGCTTTCTTTTAAGGCAGAATTAGGGATGAGGAGCATATTTCTCATGACATTTTAGGATTGAGAAATATCAACGGGGAGAGTAATTTTAGGAAACAGCTCTTTAGTAATTGTTATTCTGTTGCTGTTTTTTAAATAGACTCTTGAATTAGGCCACTGGAACCTCCTCCTGGGATCCTAAGTTGTTTTCTGTTTATCTGAACAGCATTGGCTTTAGTTTTGTAATGTGACCATTTACATAGTAACAGCCACTACTTGTGCTGTGTTAGGATTCTGTTACATTGAGATTATCGCGTAAAACAGCTTGTACGTGTTTCCCCCTGCCCCTGGATGGCAGTTAGTGGCCTACCTGCTCCATTTTGGGGCGGGGGTGGGAAGCTGGGGGATTTCTAGATGTGGTAAGGAAGTTAATTTCACGTTAAAATGCCTCAGCATGATGACTCAAAAAACTAGAATGATTTCACTCTCTCGGTAGAGGATACTGGTCGAATGTTTTCGGATGAGAGTTTCTATTTCAGCTTCGTTTTGGAGAGAGCCGTGTGACCACCACTCTCTGGTATTCTTGAAAAAGATGTTTAGCTTTGTATTTTTAGTATCTCAGTGAGAAGCATCAACTTGCCACCGGCCTATCACCAGTGACCTTTTATTTCCAGCTAATTATTTCAAGTCACTGTAGTATTCTGTGTCCTTCCTTATTTTAGTTACTTTGCCTTTTCCACAGTTTTAAACAGAAAAGCAACAGACGTCAACAATATCTAGCTAATTTAAATGAAGTGCCGGGTCTGCAGTCCCCTGCCTATTATGGGAGGATCTCAGAAAATGGAACATTCTGCCCGAGGGAGATTCGCTTCTCTGAGATAGCAAGAGGCAACCATTTTGTTATGTTGACACATTATTCAATTAACGAACCAATGAGTGTAAATCCTGTCAAAGCTGACTATTTGTTCAAATTATGTAGCTGCTTTAGTTTACTGGAACATTTGTTGAGCTAATGTGGCTGATAATGGATCTGTTGGGAATAGTAGGCTGTGACCCATGGATTCACTGTGCAGGCCAGTGGAAAACAGGAGCGTTTAGATGTGCCTGCCAGTTGTTTTACACCATGTTAGAAAAGAACTACTTTTGTTTAATAGGGTCCAGTTCATCAGCCAAGGCCTGCTAAGGGTCAGCATCTTAAGAGATCAAGACGGCTTTTACTTTAGGCCCCTTCCTCTTTTAACTTTTCCCAAGCGGAATCAAATTCAGTTGACTTGAAATCACGCATAGTTGAAAAAGGTTGAGTCACATGAAATTGATCTTTCTGTTTAGTGGACCTTGAAAATTTTGAATCATCAGTTGCAAAGCTTGTCCTTTCAAAGTATTCATTCTATCACAATGTGATAGGAAGGTCTGAAAACAGCATTTTAAAGATTCTTTCTGACTTCCTGGGAGCGTTTAGACTGTTCTTAAGGACATTTGTGGTAGTGTCTATTACGTTGATTCAGTACGTGGTTGTAGAGCTAGGCATGGGGATACCGAGGAACCCGACACAGCCCCTTCTTTCAAGGGGCTTCCAGTCCAGCGGGAAACGCAGGAGCAGTTGAGCAAGAAGGGTTTACTGTAAAGTATAATTGCTAGAAGATTCTATTTAACCTCAACAGGTAGGCTTTGGATGGCTTTTTTTATTCTGTGTTCATAGAACACATTTGCTAAGTGTTTTACAATAATTTGTTAATTCTTCCCTTTGACAAGCTATCTAGCCATGATATACACAGTAATATGGTAGTTTCCGTCTTCTTATAAACTCCCCGATGTAATGGATGCTGAAAAGTAGCTCTGTTTTCTTCTTTTGGGGAAATGCAGTTTCTTCAGTAATTTCCCTAACTGCTGTTGAGGAGTGATCGGTGAAATATGGAAATAGTCCTGTCTGTTTTTGTGGTCGGGTATTCTGTGCCTACGCTCTTCTGTGTCCCCAGCCTAACTCTGAACTGAAAAGCCAATGGTGAAAGAATAAATGGCTTTCTGGAAGAGCGTTCTTTCTGTTGATGCGAGGATTTCTGTGTATGAAACAGTGGTGGCGTTCTTGCTGCTTTTTCACTAAGGTCCACATTGAACGTGTAATTTGTTCTGACCTTTCTGGTATTGTTTCACTCTCGGTCGAAGTTAATTTGAGCTGGGGACCTGAAGATGCAAGTGCCGTGTGTAGTTGTCAGTTCCTAGAAATAGATGTTCCAGCGCAATCAGTTTTGGACTCAGCATCTGCCCAAGTCTAGCATCGTGAAATGCTTTGAATTGAGAGCCCAGTAGATCTCTTTGAGGTACAGGCAGTCCCAGCTTTTATACACAATGTGTTTTTAGAGACAGCATCTTCAACGCGCTTCCTCAGTACTCTGCGTTTGGCTTTGCCAGACATCTGTTTGGGCAAGGATGGGAGCTGTTGGATGGATGTCAGTGCTTGAAGAAGGGACGTGCAGGTCTTTGTCGGTCAGTGGATGGATGGCAAGCCTAGTGGGAAATGCAAAGTGGTAGAGAACAGGATGCCTGGGGTCCCCGGAGCCCCCAGAAGGGAGAGAGAATTGACCTTCCATCAAGTAGTAATATAATAACTGCCTTCCAATGAGAGCTTACCTACTGCCGGGCAGTCTGCATAATTAGTGCATTTATTCCCCACGATAGTGCTATCAGGTGAGTAGCAGTTAAGGCACACTGCCCAGGTGACAGCTGAAGGTGGCTGGAGCAGGTGTCAGGCGCAGGTTTCCCAGCGTCCGGGTTCTTTCCGTCTTGCTGGGCTGTCTTGCCAGAAGGAATCAGGAACACCCTCACCTCTTACTTTGCAAGGAATGCACGCAAGAGTGATACTTGTTGGTTTGGGGCAAGATCATCTTTCGGGCCGTTTCAGTGGGCTGCTAGCGTCGCGTCTAAGCCAGGACGGTCCACAGAGACTCAGAGAACAGCTGTTCCCCTGGGGCCTGCGAGAAGGGTAATTATGACTAAGGGAATGAGCAGTTTCTTCCTTATTTCCCAGGAGAAGCTCGGGAGTTAAATGCCTGTTCTGGTTAACACAAGAAGCGCAATCTCGCCGCTGTTAATGAGAAATCGTTTAATGGACCGCCTCACCCTGCCCCAGCCTCCAAACGGGATTTCTACCTGTGGTCTTATTTAGAGAAAGGGGCCGCTCAGGCTGCCTCCCCAGAATTGCCATCTCTGGGAAAAAAGAAAAAGGGCCAAACAGTGTTTTTGGCTCTGTTTGCAATAAAAATCACTTTCTCATTCAGAGAATCTTCCTCTATTAATAAAACTGTGTCTGAAGACTGCTGTAGGTGCAAATGTGTTCTGTGCACGGGATGGTCTGGTGCATCCTTATTTTCTGGACTTTGGTGCTGGGGAAATGGAAATGATGAACTCAGCAACTTTTACTATGTTACTGTCAAGTCATTTGTATGCTAAGTAATTTGCATGTGAATGAGGATGGATGTCCCTGACCTGCCCCTGCTTCTTCTATTTCTCACTTCTTTATATTCTTCTCTGTTTTTATTGTTGATGAGAAGCTAGAACCCCCAGGCCTTTTTTTGATTGCTACACAGGTCTAAAGTGCGGGAGGAGAAATAACACCGTGGCTCCTTATATCCTGTACATGTTTCTTCTAATTTTGGAAGTTTTCTTTGGGGTCCTCTGTGCTTCAGCCTGGGGTGGAGCGTAGGTGTGTTATAATACACTCTGTGTTGGACATTATAGAAAAAGCCCCATAGAGAGTACGGTGACAGTGTGTTTGCAGGTCATGTATTTTGTGACTGGTGGTCTGTCACAGTCAGCCTTGGCCTAGCCTTGGACCTGTCCTCTCATTTGCTATCATTTCCTTCTTCCAGGGTCTCGAGCAGGAAAGGGTGATTATAGGAAAAATAGCCAGGCCAGACTGTGAAGGCCAGCTGTCATTGCTGGCCCCTCATTTTCCTGTGCCCTCCCTGCTACCCGCCATATTATAATAAAAGAGAAAGTTCTAGATTAGGAACCATCAAGAATGGACCTGATTCCACTGGCCTCTTGCCATGGGCCCTCAGTAAGTCACTTAAATTCGTAGTATTCAGTTGCCCCATCTGTACAATATGATACCTAGTCATTTCTGATCGTAAAATGTCCCAGTTAAAATCTCTGTCTCTTGTGAGCATTTTGTACCCTTACAACATATTTGTAAACAGGAGAGAACATTAATGGCAAACACAGAGAACCCACACAGAGAAAAAGATTGGAAGAAACGTCAAAAGATGATTTTTCTTTTATTTACACCATAGGTGGAAGTTAGGATTATATGCACTCCGAGGTGTAACATCTTCAACAAGAGCAAAATGGAGCAGATAGAAGGCAGTATTGCATGGAGACCCGTGAGCCTCGTGCTCTGAGGGGCAGGCTCGGGAGGCAGGGCTTCTGAAAATTTGGATTATTGACCCTTAGAACCATAAGTAGGTGAATTTCTTAGATTTCTCCTCAGTTTTCTTCTGGCTTTGTTGTGGCACTGTTTGTCTAGAACCTTCTACACATGATGCCTCACTTGGTTCTTTTTCTTTCTTCCTCCCGCCTCCCCCTTTTTTCTTCCCTCCATCCCTCCTTCTTTCCTTCTTTCCTTCCATCCATCCATCCATCCATCCATTCTTCCTTCCTTCTATCATCCATCCACCCATCCATCCATCCATCCACCCATCCATCCATTCATCCATCCATTCTTCCATCCATCCATCCATCCATCCATCCATCCATCCATTCTTCCATCCATCTATCCATCCATCCCATAGGCTCTGGGCTATGTTGGCTGCAGTACAGAAGAGTTCACACACATACTATTCTTAAATATAGATAACTAAGCAATTAGAAGAGTTGACTCATCCTTTGGAGGTCTTTGCTTCAGTAAACTGAACCAAAAATCATAATCTAAAAGCAGCTGGCTTCAGTGACTGGAGCATAAGGTGATTCATTCTAGTCTTCCTGAGACATTAACAGATTGCATATTAATAACATAGCATGATAGTATCTCCTGTTTGAAAAGATCTTGGAGGGCGTCCAGCCCAGTGATGCCTTAGATGGGTGACTTCCCTCTCTAGCAGGCAGCCAGGGTCGTCTTGGAGGACCGTCTTTGCAAGCTCGGTGGTGTTACAAAGCCCTCGTGTAAATCATTCTGTGTACCTCTCTCTGACTCTCCTTTGTGGTCATGCAAAACTAGTTTAACCCTCTCAAAAGTGACAGATCTCCCAATATCTGAAGGCAGCTGTCCTAGCCAGGGTGGCTTTTATAGGGAGCTGTTCCCAGTTCCTTTCGACTTTCTTCATGTCATACTGAATTCTGCACACCGCTCCTTGTGTAATCCACGCCCATCCGTCTGCAAATTACCTAGCTAAGTAAGAATATTAAAATTTATGAAGACTAGAAGGATATCTGTAAAATTACTATAATTAATTTAATGATGGCAAAACTAGTCATCAATCCTATTTCAAGGGTAGGGTTTAGTCCTAGAGTTCCATTATGGAGAGAACATTTTTACTTCCTTGAATGATTTAAAGCTCATTACCCTGGTTTGATGAGGGGGTTAATGTTCCCATTAGTCAGAGTCTCGAAGCTAGGCACTGGCGATGTGTGTTATTACAGGGCCTGCCGTTTGCCGAGTGCCAAGGAGGTGCTAGGCGCTGCGTAATTCTTAGATAATTATGGGCTAAAATATTTTAGGAGGAAAGTGAGCTTTAATTATGCCGAAGAGATCCTCTTCTGAGGATTTTAGGGTTTATGTTTCATGTGTTCAGAAACTTACAACTCCGTTAGCTGAGAGGGGCAGCAAGCTTCTTCATTTGCAGCAATAAAACTTTCTTGAGTGACATGCCCTTCGTATTTGTGCTCTGTGTGAGTCAGTGCATGGCTCCTTATTACCTTATCTAGAAAGATGACTCTGCTTATACGCTCAGGTTATTTCTTATACATCTTCCGTATCTGTATCAATTTTGATAAGGGTTGAAGTTAAAAATGAGCTAGATGTTACGTGGGAAGGCATTTACACAGCTGTTCAACACTGCAGACTTGCATTTTGCATTGTGAATATCTGAGGCCGTGATGACGTTTTAGATGTATCTTCTCTTAAAAATAGGAGGTTTTTGCTGTTTGGTGGTGGTGGTGGTGGTGGGGGTCTATGCTCCATTTAGAAATGGGACTCATCCTGATGGGTAAGGCGGGGGACTCGAAAATTCGTCTTTAATCAGGCCTACCTTTTCCAACTTATATTGTAATGACACCCTAACTGGGAAAGGAAGCATGTAACGACTCTTGTCGTCACGACATGAAGTACAGAACGGAGTGTAACGTTTTCGTGCTATCCTTGTGTGTTCCCTTTAGGCCCTGCCTCCTTCTGTTTTGTTTCCAGTGGCAGCAGAAGAAAGCTCATAATTTATGCAGAACATCCCAACTGGAATTGGTCCAGAAGGAAACGTCTTTCCTGCACAATAGCAATTTCCAGTAAAGAATGAGAAGATACCTATGTTAATGACTCCCCTTCCAGCCCCCCACAAAACCCCCAAAATGGTGAGAGTTTTTGTGATCAGGGATTTTTTAGGGTTTCACCGTTTGGTTAATTGCTTTTTTTATTCCTTGTGGAAAACTAGCTCGTATTCTGTGTTTCTGTCTTTTAAAAAAAGGGACCTGCTCAATGAGATTGGTGTTTCAAATTGTGTTCCGTAAAAATTCAGGTTACTCTATAAGAAGAGCTTATTTTCCTCTGGCCATTTCATACTGGAAAAGTTTAATGAGGTGGATGGTAGAAACTCCTGCATATGAGATTAGAGTTTTAAGGTAAGGATTATGGCCTGTGGTTGTCTCATGACTGTCTAGGGTAGGATATATGATGACAGAACACTTTTTTTGGTGAGGAAGAGTGGCCCTGAGTTAACATCTGTGGCCAATGTTCCTCCTTTTGCTTGAGGAAGATTATCCCTGAGCTAACATCTGCGCCAGTCTTCCCCTATTTTGTATGTGGGACACCACACAGCGTGGCTTGATGAGTGATGTGTAGGTCTGTGCCTGGGATCCCAATCTGCGAACCCCGGGCCACTGAAGCAGGTATGCGAACTTTAACACCATGCCACAGGCCTGGCCCCCTGCAAGACCCTTTGGAACTGCCTCAGAGGTTCTAACCTGTTAAAACTCTCTCCTATTCTAGGAAACTTTCTCCAGAACTGGGGTATGACTTGGATCAGTATTGGAATGATCATGATGAGACATAATTGACTTGCTGGACTTCACATTTAGAGCCTTATGTGTGTCTGTTAACTTATTAAACCATGGCGTCTGATAACTGATTTCATATTTATGTGATAGATTTGAATTGAAAGTAAAAAACCTCCACTAATACTTGGATATAGTGCTTTATACTTTTTTTTTCTTGAGGAAGATTAGCCCTGAGCTAACATCTGCTGCCAATCCTCCTCTTTTTGCTGAGGAAGACTGGCCCTATGCTAACATCCATGCCCATCTTCCTCTACTTTCTATGTGGGACGCCTGCCACAGCATGGCTTGCCAAGCGGTGCCATGTCTACACCCGGGATCCGAACCGGCGAACCCCGGGCCACCGAAGCAGAACGTGAAAACTTAACAGCTGCGCCACCGGGCTGGCCCCATATGGTGCTGTATATTTTTATATGTATTAGCTCTTTTTACTTCTTGCAGTTATCCTCTGTGTTAGGTAGAAATTTAAAAAAGAAAAAAGAATTACCCCAGACATGTCCACACGGGGATGCTGAGAGGTGTATTTTGTCTATTTGGGGCAAAAACTGTCTCTCTCCTTAGACGCTCCTATCTTTCCTGTGGTCCTGGGGGTGGCCCTCAGCCTTTCAGACTCAGAAACTAGATTTTGAGTTTCGGAAACTGTCCTGAGCGTTTATCTGTCTCTTGTTGTGAAATTCACGTCAATCGGCCAAGTCTTGCCTGACCAGCCCGTTGTCTGCTTTAGGCTGGTGGTTCTTATTTTAAAGTTAAAGACCCCTTTGAGAATCCGACGAAGCTAGAGGCTCCCACTCCCCAAAATGCACTAACTCACGTAGCAGATTTATCTGAAAAGCCAAATGATAGCTGGAATGTCAAATCGCTCCTTTGCACTCAATGCCAACTCTTGCAGGGGCCTGGATGCCCGAAGTCCGCGTGACTGGAGCGTTCTCTCCTGCAGGTTGCCGTTGTGCAAGTGAAGTGGGCCTGAGAAGGTGGCACAGCCGGCACGGGCCTGTGTCTGGATGGCTTGGCAGGGTCTAGCCTCTCGCTCAGCAGATCCAGTAGCTGGGACCAAGTCATTTCTGCAGGGGCTGGCTTTATGCTGGAGGTGGAATTCTGGAGTGCCCTGACAGTGAGTGGCTTCTGTGACACCTTGCCTGTCTATATTTCCGCGTTTCCTGTTCTGATTGATGGGCAGGCCACCATTGGATCTGCTGATACAGTCACTGAAGCCACAGCCAAGGCTTGCCAGCCCAGGAGCCCCTGGCATTTCTCTGCCCTTGGTGTTATGTTTTGATTTAGCGTTTTTATTCTCAGAGGGCCACTTTTCGTCCTTATATTCAGATTCCTCGAAACGGCTTCCCAGTCCTCATCATCCCCGCTTTAGAACGGGGAAGTTCAGGTTCAGAGAGAAGCTAATTGCTCAAGATGACATTGATGGCAAAGGACACAGTTGAACCTCAAACCAAATTCTCTGCATTTTAATAGACGTCAGTGTGTCTTTTGCCAAGTGAATCGTCTAAGAGAAGAAGGTTCTTGGATTGGGGTAGGGGAACACTGTCAATTTCAGGCGTTACTATCACTGAAAATGCATTGTTTGTGTTCAGTGAGGGTTATCAGCTCCAGCGATCTGCTAAGGTGCTTATATACACAGTCTGTGCTGCATGATGCTGTTTTGGTCCATGATGGACTGTGTATATGATGGTGGTCCCATAAGATTGGTGCCATGTAGCCTAGGTGTGGAGCAGGCTATCCCGTCTAGGTTTGTGTAAGTGCACTCTATGATGTTTGCACAGCAACGAGGTCACCTAACGACACCTCTCTGAGAACGTATCCCCATCATTGAGTGGCGCGTGACTGTAATTTCACTGGAGACATTGGTTTAGTAATAAAGATATGGATAATTCCTTAAAAGATAAGATGTCATAAATTTCATGTTAAATAATAGGATCATTATCAATAATGATGGCAATGTTATAAATTGAGAAAAGCTACATGTAAGGGGTTCTTAATATTTTCTTACCCCAAACATGTTTTTATTATTGCGTGTGTAGCCTTCTCTTAAAAAACAAAATTAAAATTCATCTCTCTCCCTTTCAGTAGGTAAATGAGTGTCCTTGGCTTGAACAGACTTATCGTTTACACTGGATACATAGAGGATTTTTTTTTTTAATATATGTATATATTTTTTCTGCTTTATCTCCCCAAACCCACCCTATACACAGTTGTATATCTTAGTTGCAGGTCCTTCTGGTTGTGGGATGTGGGACGCCACCTCAACGTGGCCTGACAAGCGGTGCCATGTCCGTGCCCTGGGCCGCCGCAGCGGAGCGTGCGAACTTAACCACTCGCCGCGGAGCCGGCCCCAAGATTTTTTATGTTAAGCTTGATAATGTTAGTGGTAAGTTCTAAATGGTGACAGAGAATTAATGGAATGGGTTTCCTGTTTAACCTTTATACCGAAAGGTTGTTGAGATCTCATTGGGATGGTGTTCTGTGTGTTGGGCACACGTTAGCGGGTCCATTTACAACTTACCTTCTTCACTTAGTGGTACACGCTCAGCTTTCCTTGTTAGTCGTGTTGAGATGAATCTCATTCTTTTGAATTTCTGTGTGACATGTCATAAAACCGTTATGTACCTAAGCCTGTGTTCAGTGACTACGCTCCCCCGTGTGTCTCCGGGCCTGTGTGAGTCCTTCTGTAGGACAGCCCCTTGAAGTAAGAAAGATGTGAGTATTTTTAGTTTGGCTAGATGTTGCCAGATTGTCCTCTGTATTTTAAGGATAAACAGAGCTGCATTCAGAATAAATTTAAAATCATTTCATATAGACCATGTAGACACAATTGGGTGATAAGAACCAAGATTTTAACTTTAAACGAAGAGATACATGAGTACCAGAGCTAAGTAAAAATCCTGCAAGGTTAAATTTGAATTGGAAAGTCATGATTTTTTTTCTTTTCAAATTTGTATTATCAGCCCCAGCCGTTTAAGAGCCAGAAAAGCAATTGGGGTCCTATCTCAGTGGGCACCCTGCCCAGCCACCCCTGATGCTGGATATGGGCAGGGGCCGGGCGAGACAAACCTGGACCCTCAGTTTTCTGTTGAGTCAGAAAGCAAAGGAGGCATCCTCGAGTTGGGGTGGGCACCATGCTAACAAATGCAGAGGCTGGAGGAGGGGCTCCCGCTGGCCAAAGGTGAGACAATTTGAGCAGCGAGAGAATACGGCTGCAACTGGTTACATTGCTCTGAATAAATTGGAACCCTTGTGGTTGGCAGAATAATGGCCTCCTAAAATGTCCACGTCCCAATGTCCAGAACCTATGACTGTGTGTTCGTTGTCAAGAGGATATTAAGGTCGGAGATGGAATAAAGGCAGGTGACGTGCTGACTTTAAGATAAGGAGAGTATCCTGGGTTATCTGAGTGGCCCAGGGGAATTGCAAGGAAGGGAGGGAGTCGATGTCCGAGTGACCAGCATAAAAAGGAGTCGACCCGCCACTGCTGGCTGTGACCACAGACTGGGGCCAGGGCCCAAGGAGATGGATTCTGCCCTGGGACCTCCATGAGGAACGCAGCCGCGCTCACACTTTGATCTCAGCCCAGCGAATCCCATTTCAGACTTGTGACCTAAGATCTGAAAGGTCATACATTTCTGTTGTTTTAAGGCCATCCAGGTTGTGGTAATTTGTTACAGCAGTGATAGGAAGCTGATACACCCAGACTCTCCAAAAAAAGAGGTTCCCAAACACAACAGAGGAAAACGAAGCACCTTGTGGATCCCCACTGGCAGTGAAAATAGGGCACTAGCTCTGTCTCTGAAAAGCGGCAATTAAAAGGTAAAGAGTTAAGCGTTTATCTTACCTTTCCTGTCAGAACTACATTGTGGGGTCACCAAAAATCCCGAGTTGATGGGGGAAAATTCCTCCTTGCATAAGAATTGCAGCAGATGAGTGTGGAAGGAATGATGGAGTTAGAAAAATCACCGTTTTGCTGCTCTTCAAGTTTTGATTTAGGAGAAGATCATCAATGTATGAAACGGCTAAGTGACAGGTGGATGGAGAATTTTACCAGGGGGGTGAGACTGCCACCAACTGAATTTTCTAAGTAATTTTCACATCAGGAAGAAGGAATAACGTTACGCCCCCTTGGGTGAAGCAGCGTAAAGTACCAAGACCACCGAGTGAGTGTTCCTGCCCCGAGAAGGTCGCTTGCATATAATCAGGTCTTCAGAGGTAGCTGTCAGCTCACAGGAAACATGGAGCGAGAGGAATCGATCGAGTGACTGTAAGAGGAAGCGAACAGAGAAATCCAGAACGGGCGA